AGGCACCGAACAGGTTCCGCTGAAGCGGACAAGATTCGCGAGGCAGACTTACACCGATGAACCGACTACCTTTGAGCGCATTGTAGTGCAGGCGTGTTGCTGAAAAATCAATGCTAACCCACCCACTTTGTCGGCTCCTTGGTTCTTCGAAAAACAAATTAATAAAAAACTAAAAACCTCAATTTTCACAACCAACCAACGGCCTAGTGCGTAACGGTGCTTCCGGCGCAAAAAAAAACCGCTTTCGCTTATGAATATTCCGCGTGTGAGGAATAAAACTATATAACGCGCTTGTTTTTACCGCAACTGTATACGTGAAAAGTGTCGTTGTCGGATGACAAGAAAATAGAAAAAAAAGTCGCGTGGCACGAGCGTTTTGGTTCCCATTTGTTCGCGTGCAACTGGTAATTAAAAAAACACGCGATCATCATTTGATGGAGGAAAAAAAGGAAAAAAACGGATGGCAAATTCGTAACGTTAGTCCGGGGAGTTGTTATTTTTCTTCTCGTGAGTCTCGGTTCATTATCCTCGTGCATCAAAAGGTGTACGTAAACATGGAGTACAGGAATTTCAAGGTCAGCGAGAAAGAAAAGAGAATTAAATTTAAAAAAAAACAGTCAGAATTTATTCAGTGAGCAAGGAATTTCGATTTGCGTGGATTTGCTTGTTATTGTGCGCTGCGAAATCGGCCGTTTGGAAGGCTAATCTGTCGCGTAAGCACATTTTGGTGGCCAACGGACCAAATGGACAGCAAATCAAGGGGGATTGCTTTCGACACTTAATGCCCTGATTACCAGAGTCGCAGCAGTAAAAAAATCGTTAAATCTCCGACACAGCTGTTTTCTTGTTTTGTGTTTGTATGTAACATAATCGTTTCGTGCTTCGTCTTTGCTTCGATTGTTTGTCTCTGTTGTATTTCGGTCATGTTATCCGAGCAAAGCTTTTTTTATCCCGTTTCGCCCCTCCGTTTGCGAGAATGAAAAACCAGAAACTCGTTTTTTCGGTGAAACTTGTGTCAACTTGGCTTTCCTTTTTTTTTCTCACGCGATTGCTCCAATTTCGCTTCGTAAGGAACTTTCTTCGAAGTATAGCTGATTCCCGTTTTTAAATTTCACTCTTCTCAACTAGAGACACATGTCTGCATGTATATATATATGTACGCATCTATGGAGAGTAAGTCATTGTCTAGCGTAGACGATAATTATATGACCAGCTGAATATCAATCAAGTATTGCTTTCACGAGAAGAAAATTTGATTCTCTTCCTTTGATGACCTTGTGAGTGAATTTTGTTTCAAACAACAAAGAGTTTAATCATCAAGTTTTCCGAACACAGCCGCTAGTGCACATCTCATGTCTATAATGTACTTTGCCGCTATCCTCAATGCCACACAGTTCGTAGGATATAACATACAATCCTTTGAAGTTGAACCGCAATCTGTACGCTGTGCGAATTTTTTAAAATCACCTTTTTTTCGGTGGACTTGCTTGCGCTTCGAGTTAGTATTTATATCCATCAGTATGTAGGTAAACGTAAGTATTAAGATTCTAAGCACGCGCCAACGGACCAACGTACGTGGCTCTCAATTGCGTGTCATTGATTTATTTGTATAAGATGGGCGAGAGAAAAGAGCGAAAAATTGTTATTCGGTGCATGCGTGACGGTTGACAAGTAAATTGTGCTTGGATGTTAATGGTTCCGGAAATGGTTTTCCCGTTTCTTGTATACTACATACGTGCTCTTTTTGTGTACATACGCAGTTAATTTTTATTGAGACAAAGTCTGATCATCAACCTCGTGAATGGAGTACGGGATGTAGGTACGTTAGATTCAAACATAATCTTGTTTTGTGTTTAATGTTTGCTAACAAAGCTAATTAAAATTTTTACTTTTATCAAATGCGAAACCAAATTCGCTATTACTTGGTTATTCCGCTTCCGCAAAGCATGAGTTACGTCGAGAGACATCAATCTATCCTGCCACCACAAAAAAGTCCGGTATCTACGTACAAAGGTTGCAAATGTTTGAATCAATATCCTGTTGCTATTTACATTGGAAATCTAGAGAACACCTATGAATTCAAATCGGAAGTCTTACCTAATCGAGTATCACAACATTAAAAAAATAAAAAAATAAAATAGTAAAATAGTTTGTATACCTAATAATTTGAGTAAATAACTTATAACGTTTCAATCGATGACTTTAAAACTTAGTATATAGCTTAAGAATTCCTGAATCCCAGAAAAAAAAGACTTATTCATGTTTGTATCGGATACGCCTTTTGATATTAACTTTTTTTTTCTGTAACTGGAGACAAACAAATAAAAGTGTGTTGATACGCATAAGTACTTTAATAGATGAATTAAAAAAAAAATTTTAAAACAAATAGGGCATTACACTTATTTTGTAAAGTTTTCCCTATAATGTTAACACGGCACAAAAAAAGATCGAACTGAATTACTGAATGACTAGTAGTCACGAATCAAATTTCAAAACTCAGTCAAATATTTAATTTGTTTAAACAACTAATGCCATACAAACTGTTACCATTACAAAGATTTCTGCTCACTGAAAAAAACACCATGAAAAAATGAACCAGAGCAGTGGAAGGTGCCTTTAAAATTAAGGTTAGTGACGAAGTAGGGATGCACAAAGTAAAATCAAAAGTGAAAGTTTGAGCAGTGACAGTAAAGATAAGAAGCAAGCTGCCACGAAATTTTATACAAATCAAGTTAATCGATTTTGGTGGAGGACAAGACTTACCTCAACGAAGGTACATACACATGGTACCATGATCAAAACAGAAAAATTTGTTAGTTTTAGCAAATATAAGCATTCAACTTTACTTATTGCAATCACGTGTTGATTACTTTACAGATAAACTCGGAGACTTCAATGAGATGCAGGGAAGGCGATCAAGATATTGAAATACATGGAGAAACGAGAATAAGTACAGGGTGTAAAACCAAAAACAGCATACACTTCGATGGATCTATTAAAAATAAATAAGTACTTTACGCGACACAATATTATCATCCAAAAAGTATTCTATTTTAAAAACATGTTTTTTCTTCGTTTTAATTTTATTTCCATTTATTTAATATAGGAAAACAAGAAACTTTTGATCAAAGTGACCCATCACTGAACTTTTAGCGTGTAATGTCTTAACAACGATCTCATTGTGTCGATTACTACTTTGACGCATCACTTGCATCAGATTAGGTATTGCTTACTGTTCTCGAGTACCATGATTTCTCGGTAACGTTTCATCCTGTCGTCTCGTCGCAACGTTTCGCCTCGTCTTGTATTTCAGAGACTATAATTATGCGTCGAGTCAACGCATTTGGAATTTTCTTGAATCGATATAAACAAAAGTTTTATCCATACTATTAAAATACGTTTTATTGACATTATCGAAGGGAAAAAAAAATTCTTTCAAAAAATAAGTACGATCTTCCTTTATCGGAATTTGTAAAGCATTATCTTATAAAGTATTGTCTCAGTTTTGTGGAGGTAGTTTTATAGTCGACATTGGAATCTGAATCTATTAGTAAGGGAGCTCCATATAGAAAATTTTTTTCCAACCTTATTACAGTATTTATTCTGAAGATTTTTTCAAGCTAAACCAATCGCTGTAAATAAGCCTAAACAGAAACACACTTTGTTTGATTTTGGGATGACAAAAATCGGCAAAGTTCCCTTAAAATCCTGATTTCCAATACCAATAGACTCCTCTTAATTGAATACTCGATCAATCAAATCAAATTTCAAACAAAACAGCAGAACGATCATTTTACGACACCCGTTTTCTTCCAACCACCCAACGTCATTGCGCAACCGATCAATTTCAGTACACGACGGCGCACAGCTTCGCCGATCCACGCATGCGAGCTTTCAATAATAATATTCCGCGCGATTCTCCACAGCCAGAAACCTCCGCGCGTAAGCAATATTCCACGAAACGACAGCCGATTCAACGGCTCCTCGGCTTGTTTGCGCATTAGCGCGAAAATCCCCTTCGCGCACACGCGAGCCATACAGGTTTTCGAGAAGCCGTCGTAATTGCACCGACTGGCTTTACTGGCCATAGCCTGCGAACGAACGCTGTTCGCTTTTTTCGCCTGGCAACGCGTGTTTTTTGCATCTCCGTCCGCGAATGTAGATGTCATTGAAGGTGAACACTTGACGTGTACAATTAAGATTTCATGACCGGTAAGAAAGAGAAACCGCGAAATCTGTGGGCTCACCGTCGAAGATTCAAATGCCGATTTCTTCTCGAGACGCGCAATTCGCAAAGTCAATACCCGCGCTGGGCTAACTGCCGGTGATTCAACGCAAGTGGATGATCGACCTTAATGCGGCTACGAACCGATTGCACAACCAGCCGAATTGAATTTCCATCGTCGCGAGAACTAGTCCACGGCGAGGCGCGAGCGATCGAAAGAAAAAGCAAGACCAGCCCCGTTGCGATAACTCACGCACGCACGCCGAGTTTGCTCGTTAACTCGAGCGAGGTAACGAAAAAGAGAGGAAAAAAAGAAAATAGAAAAAAAAAAAAAAGAAAGAAAAACGAAATGATCAATGAAGAGATCGGTATTATGGTCGTCGGAATCGGCCTACATAAAGCCAACCGAGCGTCTCTCACCGCGAAATATCTGCACGCGATTCCGGGGCTGCGCGCTTATGGCATATTACACCGCATTTAAATATGTTACATATGTGAGTGCCGCTGCACCGCGTGCACAACGATCGGAGGAGGAGGAGGAGGAGAAAGCCCCCCCCCCTCTCTTTCTCGGTTATATACACTCGATCTATATTAATTTCTATCGTAATTTTCGCTCACTCGTGCTCCCGGTCGTAATGCAACGATCGGCACACTATACGTACAAATGGTATACACACTCGCGCAATTCTTGCACGTGCATCTGTATATTACGTGCAATGCGTGTGCACATGTATTTAGGCTACGTGTGTCACGTTTGCATTTGGAGTCCACTCACCTGTTCCGGATTCGTGTGTGGAGCAGCGAGAGCGAGGACGTAATGTCACGTGTATATACAGGTGTGTGTGTGAGCCTGCGAGTAGTTACGTCGACGCTGGGCCCTTTTGTGCCGATTTTAGCTCGAGGGCCGGTTTATTGCGGTCACCGGCGACGCTGGACCGCGAGTGCAGCTCGCTGCGGCTGCTGCTTTCTTGGCGATGGTGATGGCTGCGGCGCTCTCGAGCGCTCCGAGCTTTTCTTGCATCTCTCGTGGGACTGAGCCGTCTGTCTTCTACACCTGAAGTCGACAACAAGCGAAAAATTTTCAAGCTTTCGTTGGTCCATTTTTTCGGTTCGTACGTATTTTTAAATTTATTATGACTGTTTGACTGTACTGGTGCTATTCATAAGTCATTTTTACAGGTCTTTGTAGCTATTCGTCACAATGAAAAGAGATCCTTGCAGAGAGATTTCGCGATTTCAAAGAAAATCTTATGGTTCACTCGATAGGAGACAAATCAGTATGATTTTGATATAAAAACCGTGAGCAATTGCACAGTATAAGATTGAATTTTCATCGGTACTAATCACATACAAAAAACATTATTACTGTGATCGGGTCTACCATGGATGTGATACTGTAAAATAACGAGTAAAACTTACGATCGTTTTCAAGTTTCTCCTTGCACCTCTTTGATTTTTAAATGCGTGCAATGTGGGCGACCACTTCCACCGATGTTCCACTCGTTCTCCAGGTGTCTCACTTCAATTCATCGTGGTGCAAAGAGTCATTAAAAGACATTAAACAATACACCCGTAAAAATCATAGACTCCGAGCACTTTCCGGCTTTGATTTTCCTTCACAGCACTCAAGCTGTATACGCAAGACCATGGAGAAGCGTACAAAGGGAGAAAACAATAAAGAAATTCCTCGTCTCGCAACACCGGCCGGGCAGCGCTCACACCCACGTAAAAATAATGACGTATGGAAAGACGGTGGCTCTTGGGAGTGTCGGACGGCCGAACGAAAAGAAAAGAAAAATAGCCCATCGGCAGTACGCGGAGGATTAAGTACGCGAGCGTACAAGAGCCAGTGGAGTGCCAGTGTGCTACTGCGGGGCCTTCTCTCGTCGGCGAGCGGGACTAGTGGCTCTCGGGCTGCTGCGGTGTGTAAGTATGCTTTACAACCTCCACTGGACAGTGACGACGAAGACGATGCGCGGACCGCGAGCTGGTGGAGGAGAGGGAGGGACTTTCCCCTCGAGCCACTCGACGACATAGGAGCCCCGTGGTACTGTGTACACGCTCTTTGGCTGGTGTGGGCACACGTGTATTGCGATATTACGTGGGTGTGAGTGCAGTGGAACATGGGACTCTTCGCGGACTGCGCTGCATAATTATATATGCCTATATATGCGAACCGGGGTGAAGGAGAAGTGCGATTGTTTGCATTCGCGGAATTCGGCACGAGAAATTCAGTGAGTTTGACTTCAAGATGAAGAAGAAAAAAGGACTTACACGATCGGTAATTGAAAGGAAGATGCTGGTGAGAGGAGTCCGCGAATTTCGGCTGGATTCGGAAAAAATCGGTTTCCAGTTAAGGATTAATCGAGGGGAAAAACATATTAACGTTCGTTAGTTTTGCAAATACAAGAACATATTTTTAATGATGGTGCAATTGTATTTCTTGGATACGTTTTCTTTTTTAGTACTGTTTATAAGGAAGTACCGAAATGTAGGGCGGTCTTTCGTGGTTTCCAAGTGACGATCTCGATTCCTTTTCATCACTTTTATTTCGTTAATGATACTTTTAAATTACTGTAAAGAAACTGATTACTCAAGTAAGGGTTAATTATTTACAGAATTTTTCTTAAATACTTACTTATTGGTTGCGAACCAAATTTTTCTACATTTTTTTGGAAAAGTTTGTGATCGGTTATCTCGAATCACATGTTTTGAATTGCATAAGACTAATCGTTCGATTGGTTTGATTTTATATTGTTGAAGTTGATTATTGGAACGAATATGAGAAAGAAGTGATGAATCCACATTGTGGATGGGAAAATAAATTCAGGGTTTTAAAAATTGAACTTGTCTTTTAAAATAAATAAACAATTTTTACTGAAAAACTATATATCTTTAGGAAGATTTTCTCAACACGATTTTATTAGCAGTAAATGTAAACAAGTGGCCACGGACCTTAACAGAAACAAGCAAACCGATCGAAGAGAGAGAGATACTGGTTTCGTCGCGTTTGTAACACCATGATGACTCGATACAGGTATAATGCACGCACGACACGAGAGAACGTATTGCACTCGTCCGCAGCAGTGAAAATTCACCACAACACACTCTGGATCAGGAATTTCCGATCTCGAGAGCTCAGTTTCCGAAGGACACTCGCAAAATTACGCTACTTATGTGCGTACACGCGCGTTATAAACCGATTGTGAGGAATGAAAGGCTTCTTGTGCAGTTACTTGCGCGAAATTTCGTCTTCGAACTGCTCTGAAGCTCATCCAGTATTCAATAAATTTTTACGCCGAGAGCGAACGTTGCGCTGTCTGTGGCTTAGCGTTGATCGGTGGGATAAACATGTCCCTATTATTTGAGTTTTTTTGCTACACGTAATAAAATTTACGAAACGTCATCAGTCCCACGTGACAATCACCTTGTGATTTTAAGGATTGAAAATTGATAAAAAATTAAATTACAAATGACAATACACTTACGACAAATGACACTTAATTAAAAGTTTTGGTGCACTCGAATAATAATAAGTATTGATCAAGATAATGAGTCATATTTAAAAAAAAATAGTAATTCAGTTCATTAGGAGATGATATGAGGTACTGCTGCTCTAGAGAGGCGCGGGTTCGGTTTTTGTTCAGGTTGACTTTTCAAAATACAAACATGACTGGGATTTGTTCTCGAGTCTCAAGACTGGCTCTGCACCTCAGGATAACCCTGGGGTAGTTTCACACACTGAAAAAATTCATACACACATGCTATGTTCTTGAAAAAAACATGATTTTTTCAGTGTTATTTAACATTTTTTATTTTTTGACGGAACCTCCTTAAAGAATGAGAAATTAACATAAAATATTTTCAAATAAACTTTCGTACATAGGGATTTAAGAAAAGGAAAACTGAGATAAGAACTAAAATTTAAAGATGCAGAAGTAAAAGAATTGCAGAAATTAAAAATGATAAAATAAAATTTGAAATGTAAGAAAATTAATCTGCAGAACTATTTAAAGATTAATATACTAAAACAAATAATAACGAGCTTCCATAGATTGATGAATGATATTGCAAAAACCGATAGCCAATGACTCGAAAACTCTGACGTACATGCAGGATTTTCAAAGCTGATAATTTCGTGATGGTAGAACATATGCCAAGATAAGCTTCCTTTACAAGAAAGTAAAAGTCATGCATAAATATTTGAAAAAGCCCCTAATAATTAACTCAAATTATTTAACGTTAAAAAAAATAATATTGAATAGAAAATTTATAATTTTCTTAATGTGTTACCGACCAGCATGAGGCAGTTCGCTATAAGTTTCAAAATTGTTGGGGAGATGGCGCCTGCCTTCACATTTCGTGCGAATCTTCAATTGTCCATCGTGTGAAATATTATACAACTTTTATGATATATCACCGTTGAACTAGATGTAAAAAAAAGTCGTTAAAATAAAAATCGACTTTTCATTTGCAATCGTATCAACAGTTTTTTCATTCTCGATTAAAATGCAGAAAATCTAAACGAGGTATTAGTCCCAGAAGATTTTTTACAAGCTAATCTTAATTTTCTTAATCCACCCGTGATTTATGACTGTTGAGGCAGTAAAATTTTAATTTTTAACTAATTAAGCAGCCTAATGTTTGTAACGATACACATACACTTGCCACTCTCTCTTTATGATAACATGTGTAAAATAATACAAAATAATACCAAAAGATAAAAATCAATTAGGGCCTATTGAAAAAATAATAAAAGAAACTTACATTACAATACATCTTCAATATTGTATGAAAATTGTATTAAACGTACTTTGAGTTGAATAATAAGAGACATTTCGGGTCACTGATTAAAATGCTAAAAATGTATACTTCTAAAAGTTAAATATCATGCAACACTTGATCATGGACTTTTAAACTTTAAAACTGTATATGCAAGCTGAGCATATGATTGATCATAACGCCTCAAATAGGATTTTACTGTTATGATATATTTTAACCTCACGAGAACAAGACGATTTCCATACAAAAAAGGAATTCCGAACAAAAAATAATTTCTTCTTTCAAAATATCATGACCTACAAAATATAGTGCTTCCCATTTGATGGAAACCAACCCACAGTAAAATTGAAAGAGAAAATTGAAATGCTGTCCCTCCCATAATAGTTGACCTCCATCGTGGCCGCCCCTTCCATACGCTTACCCAAAAGTGCACAAGCCCTCCAATTACGTCCCCACGCGCACATGCAACGTGCGCTCCACGGATATCGCTGCACTTGTGCGTAAAGGTATTCAAGCTCTCCCCTGTACTCGCTCTCTTTTTTTTCCCAACTCGCCCCGCTCCCGCTCTCCACAAAATCCGATTCGCCCTCACAGTTTTTACCCTCCCCGGCTTTACGACGTGTAGGGAAGATTATTGCCACATCTCGACTCGTCTCGGCTTCGAGTCTCCTTGCTCGTTTCCTCATTTTCCTCCGACTCTCGTGGTTCTCTTAAAAAGCGCGAGGAAGAGAAAGCCCACGATCGAGGACGTAAAAGCTCCGGGGACGTGTGTGCTGCTGTACACTGGCCGCGAGGAAACGAAGGGAATAGCGGAATGTATAACCAAGGGGGCTGCTCGACGATGAGGGAAAAGGTATGGAGGTGGAGATGCTGATGGCGGTGGCAGCGGCCTCGGAGGGGTAAAAGAAGACGGTGAGCACCGGTTGTGGAGGGGGTCCGCGGGCTCGCGGGTCGTTATTTTTGTGCCAGCCTCGTCTTTAATTTCTCCCCCACCCGTGGGACGGCCGCCTCGTACACACCCGCTCTTATTTTCTTCTTGCTCGGGCGCAGCAGCCACCTCGATCTCTCTCCCCTTATTTCCTCGTCCCCACCCCCCGGATGCCGAGTAAGACGAAGGCGACTCACCCTTTCGCCCCGTATATGAAACAAAGCCCAGGGAGAAGTTGAAGATACAAGCGACTGGCTATGTGTGCCGGGGTTTGCTCGGTGTGCGTATCTCCGTGGTCTTTCTTGCTTGTATTGATTTACGTGGTCATTACGCAGTGCGATTTTATTGTTGCACACATGTGGGGTTTATTGGTACGGTGGGTGATAGGCATTTTCAGTCCAATGAGATTTTGCTGTAGTTGTACTGATATATTCCGAATCGAGTCTAGTTAAATCATTTTTTCTGAAATTATAAAAAATAAATAAAAAGTTAAAGACAACAATTTTGTCATTGAAAGTATCTTTATTTTCTTTGTCTAGTTTATTGGCAAGTTGTGCTGGATTCTGTTTACCACAAATATACGTGATTATTATTTTTCTCGAGTTCTTAATGCTTTAACTTGAGACGTGCAGTCATTGTCATGTATTGTTTCTAACCAACACGTATTTATCTCGAGTTTCAATAACTTTGTGCACCTTTACTACAAAAAAAAAAGTTGTTTTCATCTGATCTAGAGATTTTATTTTAGTTAAACTGCTACATTATAATTAAAGAAAAGTTCTGTATTGTGCGTACATCCAGCAGTTTTGATCGCGTGTACAATTTGTATTATTCCTTTCGACATGCGTTCTAAATTCCTTTTGACAAAATCAAGTAACAAGACAATAACAGTCATCTGTATAGGTGGAAGAAACATAATATGGCACTCTAGTTTGTTAGGAGGAAAGTTCTATCTTTGAAGTACAGTTTTTCTCAATCTTCGTAGCACACTATTAATTTTCAGTTTATGATATGCAGACAAGGATATTTCTTGAACTTTTATCTTACTCCTACAAAACTTATGTTGAAAAACCTTGCAATTTTTTTCTTTTTTTTTTTTAATAATGCCACGTATTAAAAAAAGTATGTTTGTATCAATTAAAACAATAGCTATTTAACAATAATTTTTCCATGTGGCAGCGCTCATTCTAATCATAGTTTCCCTGTCTTATCTACAT